CTGAGATTGCACCCAAGTACTGCACTTTGCACTCTTTTGTTGACTGTGAGGGCCACTCCATTTCTTCTAAGGGATTCTTGCCCATAGTAGTAGATATAATGGTCCTCTGAATTAAATTTGCCCATTCCAGTCCATTTTAGTGCATTGGTTCCTAAAGTGTCGATGTTCACTCTTGCCATCTCCTGCTTGACCACTTCCAATTTACCTTGACTCATGGACCTAACATTCCAGTTGTATATGCAATATTATTCTTTTCAGTATCAGAATTTACTTCCATCACCAGTCACATCCACGATTGGGCATTGTTTTCGCTTTGGCTCAGCCTCTTTATTCTTTCTGGAGCTATTTTTGCACCCTTCTCCAGTAGCATATTGGGCACTTACCGACCTGAGGAGTTCATCTTTCAGGGTCGTATCTTTTTTCTTTTTTTTTTTTTTACTGTTCATGGGATTCTTAAGGCAAGAATACTGAAGTGGCTTGCCATTCCCTTCTACAGTGAACCACGTTTTGTCAGAACTCTCCACCATGACCCATCCATCATATGTGGCCCTATATGGCATGCTCATAGTCTAACTGAGTTAGATAGGGTTGTGATACAAGTGATCAGTTTGGTTAATTTTCTGTAATTTTGGTTTTAATTCTGTCTGCCCTCTGATGGATGAGGATAAGAGATTTGTGGAAGCTTCCTGATTGGAGAGATTGGCTATGAAGGAATCTGGGTCTTGCTCTGACATGCTTAGTAAATCCGTAATCTAATTTTCTCATGATGGGTACAGCTGTGTTCCCTCCATGTAGTTGGCTTGAGACCAAGCTATGGTAGGTGTAATGGCAACCTCCTTCCAAATGGTTTATGCCAGGACTGCTGTATTCAGTGTCCCTGATCCCACAATAGCCACGTTGACCCATGCCTCCCCTGGGGACTCTTGGACACTCACAAGCAAGTCTGCCTCAGTCTTCTGTGAGGGTCACTGCCCCTTTCTCCTGGTTCCTAGTGTGCACAAGGTTTTGTTTGTGCCCTCTAAGAGTCTCTTTCACCAGTCCCATGGAAGTTCTGTAATCAAATCCCACTGGCCTTCAAGGGCAAATTCCCTGAGGGTTCTCAGTCCCTTTGCTGGATCCCCAGATTGGGAAATCTGCTGTGGGCCTTAGAACTTTCATAAGAGTGGGAGGACTTCTCTGGTATAATTGATCTTCAGTTTGTGGGTTGTCTACTCAGTGGCTCTATGGTGGGGCTCACACATTGTGCTTCCCCAGTCTCCTGAAGCCACAGCCCCTGTCCCCACAGCAGGCCACTGCTGACCCATGCATCTGCAGGAACACTCAAACACTCAAAGGCAGGTCTGGCCCAGACCTATAACCATGTTTTTAAAATGTGACCAGTTTGCTGTTGGCACTAACTTGAATGCAATAATCTCATTTTGAGGGGTTATCTTCCTCTGTCCCACTCTTTCTTAAGGACTGTTAAGGGTTAATGTTATCTCCAAGGTGAAAACAGCCTTGGGAGGAGCAGCCTACACCTGGTGTATAAAGGCAAAGTCTACAGGAAGAAGAGTTTCAGGGTGAAGAGTGTCAAGAAAGGTTTGTAGTTTGAGTTATCGATCTCAAGGAGAGAAAAAGAAAAGTGAATCCTCATCATTTGATCCTGGTATTCAGAGCCAGAGGCAGGGACCTTGGGAAAGTGAAGAAGAGAAAAAGAAAGAAAAATGTCCAAATAAAATAGGTATGTATGGGGGCAAGAGGAGGGAGAAACTCTGAGAAAATGGGGTTGGGTGTATGATCATGTTGATTTGCTATTGTTGTTTAGTCTCTAAGTTGTGTCCAACTCTTTTGCAACCCCATGGATTCTAGCCCACCAGGCCTCCTCTGTTCATGTGATTTCCCAGGTGAGAATACTGGAGTGGGTTGCCATTTCCTTCTCCAGGGAAATCTTTCTGACTCAAGGATCAAATCTACCTCTCCTTCATTAGCAGGTGGACTCTTTATTACTGAGCCACCAGGGAAACCCAATCACATGGATACTGGCCTCAAACACAAAAATTTGCTATTCCTAGTGAAAAATGGAATCAGCTCAGTTAAGTCAGTCGTGCCTGACTCTTTGCAACCCCATAGACTGCAGCACGCCAGGCCTCCCTGTCCATCACCAACTCCTGGAGATTATTCAAACTCATGCCCATTGAGTGGGTTATGCCATCCAACTATCTCATCCTCTGTCATTCCCTTCTCCTCCTGCCTTCAATCTTTTCCAGCATCAGGGTCTTTTCCCATGAGTCAGTTCTTCACATCAGGTGGCCAAAGTATTGGAGTTTCAGTTTCAGCATCAGTCCTTCCAATGAATAATCAGGACTGATTTCCTTTAGGATGGATTGGTTTGATCGTGCTGTCCAAGGGACTCTCAAGAGTCCTCTCCAATACCACAGTTCAGAAGCATAAATTCTTTGGCTCTCAACTTTTTTCATAGTCTAATTCTCACATCCATACCTGACTACTAGAAAAACCATAGCCTTGACTAGATGGACCTTCGTTGACAAAGTAATGTCTCTGCTTTTTAATATGCTGTCTTAGTTGGTCATGACTTTTCTTCCAAGGAGCAAGTGTCTTTTAATTTCGTGGCTGCAATCACCATATGTAGTGATTTTGGAGCCCCCCAAAATAAAGTATGCCACTGTTTCCATTGCTTCCCCATCTATTTGCCATGAAGTCATGGGACCAGATGCCATGATGTTAGTTTTCTGATTGTTGAGATTTAAGCCAAGTTTTTCACTCTCCTCTTTCACTTTCATCAATAGGCTCTTTAATTCTTCACTTTCTGCCATAAGGGTGGTGTCATCTGCATATCTGAGGTTATTGATATTTCTCCCAGCAGTCTTGATTTCAGCTTGTGCTTCTTCTAGCCTAGCGTTTCTCATGATGTACTCTGCATATTAGTTAAATAAGCTGGGTGACAATATACAGCTTTGACATACTCCTTTGCCGATTTGGAACCAGTCTGTCGTTCCACGCACGAATCTAACTGTTGCTTCCTGACCTACATACAGATTTCTCAAGAGGCAGGTCAGGTGGTCTGGTATCCCCTTCTCTTTCAAAATTTTCCACAGTTTATTGTGATCCATACAGTCAAAGGTTTTGGAATAGTCAGTATGCAAAAATAGATGTTTTTCTGGAACTCTCTTGCTTTTTTGATGATCCAGAGGATGTTGGCAATTTGATCTCTGGTTCCTCTGCCATTTCTAACACCAGCTTGAACATCTGGAAGTTCATGGTTCATGCATTGCTGAAGCCTGACTTGGAGAATTTTGAGCGTTACTTTACTAGAGTGAGATGAGTGCAATTGTGTGGTAGTCTGAGCATTCTTTGCCATTGCCTTTCTTAGGGATTGGAATGAAAACTGACCTTTTCCAGTCCTGTGTCCACTGCTGAGTTTTCCAAATCTGCTGGCATATTGAGTGCAGCACTTTCACAGCATCATCTTTCAGGATTTGAAATAGCTCAACTGGAATCCCATCACCTCCACTAGCTTTGTTTGTAGTGATGCTTCCTAAGGTCCACTTGACTTTGCATTCCAGGATGTCTGGCTCTAGGGGAGTGATCCCACCGTTGTGATTATCTGGGTCGTGAAGATCTTTTTTGTTTAGTTCTGTGTATTCTTGCCACCTCTTCTTAATATCTGCTGCATCTGTTAGGTCCATACTATATCTGTCCTTTGTTATGCCCATCATTGCATGAAATGTTCCCTTGGTATCTCTAATTTTCTTGAAGAGATCTCTAGTCTTTCCCATTGTATTGTTTTCCTCTATTTCTTTGCACTGATCACTAAGGTAGGCTTTCTTTTCTTTGAATTGATCACTGAGGAAGGACATATGGAATAGTTTCTGCCATATCAATAAACAAAGGATATCACAGTCATCAGCAATTGCAGCCACCATGGAAGGTGAGCTAGTGAGCCCTGAGGGTATTCAGGATGGAAATAGTGCCTGTCATCTAGTAGCCATCAAACTGTAGTCATTCCCTATGGTGAGTCCTGAGGAAGCTCAGGATGTGAAAACAGACTACTGTCCCCAGATAGTTGAGGGGCATATCAAGTGAATAATTTCAGTAAGCCTAGTCTCTCACATTTTTCTTTACATAGAAAAGCACTAAATTTGTCAACTTGGGATATCTGGTTTTCTTTCAGTTACAAAACATTTTTGACATTCAGACTACCTACACTTTGTTGCAAAACTTCTATATAATCTGTCCCCCAACTCCCTGCCTCCTCTGAGCAGTTCTCTTGAGCTGCTGTCTCCCCAACTTGAAGTCCTAAAAATTCTCACCAAATAAAACATAACTCTTAACTTCTATGTTGTGAATGGTTTCTAAGGAGATTACAAATAAATATGTATGCACATGTATTTGTGTGCTATGTTCTGACTAGCTAGGTGGTGAGGTGCTCTTTAAGAAGAGTGAAGACCAGAGTTACTCAAAGGTGCTCCCTTAAAAAGAGTGAAGACCCAAGGTTATTCCGACCTCCCACCTGGATCTGAGCCAGACCCTGGAGCAAGATCAGGGAGGAGATCCTGGAAGAATGCTGCAGGTAGATTTTTCCCAGTGGAAACGGTGGCTGGAGAGGAAGCTCCAGACTCCTCCAGCCAGTGTTCTTCATTCTCAGACCTACCGCACTGGGAGCCAGACTGCCCAACCCAGCTTGCCTGAGCTGCAGTGCCGCCCTCCGCCGCACGGAGGCAGCATGACCTACAGCGCGGTGGCAGCCGCGATCCCCACGCCCCTCTTGGCGGCGGCGGGCGGAGGCCGTGCGGCGGAGGGCGGCCCGCGGAGCCCGGCCCTCGGAGCCCGGCCCTCGGAGCCCTCGCTGATTGGCGGCGGTGCGACCGCTGCCATGTTGGCCGAAGTGGCGCTCCCTGCCGGGGGCAACTGGCTCTGGCTCCGGCTGCCAGGTTGGTACGCACAGGGTCTTCCTTCTTCCCCTCGCCCGCGGTTGGCGCTGAGAGGCGGCTTCCGGCGGGATGGATAAAAGTAGGATGAACCTGCCCAAGCGGCCGGACACGCTGTGCTTTGACAAGGACGAGTTCATGAAGGTGCGCCCGGGGGACTGCGCGCCCCGAGCCGAAGCGGATGGCCTGTCTTCCTTTCCCTCCGGGGCCTCCTCCAGGTGCTGGCCGTGCATGCCCCAGATCAGCCCCCGGCGCGACCTCGCTGCCTTTGCAGTGAGTCTTTTGGCCTCAGGTGGGGCTGGGGAAGCCTGCTGTGAGAAGGCACTTCTGTGAAATGGTGCATAGTGAGGAAAAGGCCTGAAGTTGTGGGCAAGTGGTTTTGAGCTAGGTGTAAAAGCTCCGGTTATTACCCGAGCCCGTTCCCATGCAGTGCAGTCGGAATTGCCAGATCCTGGGCAGACAGAAGTTTGTCGATCGCCGCCTTAAACCTAGAAGCTCAGTATGAATGTATTGACCAAATCTCTGGACCCACGTCTCTACCTAGGGATTAGGTGGGTGGAAAAGGCACTCAATCGAAAGTTTTTCCTTTAACGTTCGCCTAAAGTTTCTGAATGGGATATTTACAAGATTAGAATCTTATTACTGATTTTGTTGCAGTACAACAAAGCAAACCATTTTGCTTCTTTAAAGTTAGTCTACTTTTTATAAGGTGAACTTGAGGTTGGTCTGAAAGTAAATGTAGGCCATCACCTTACATGAAGAGTTGAAATATGATGGATATTAAAGGTTTATCCGGCACAGCCTTGAAAGTGTCCAAGATTTGAATCAGAGCTGGGAGGAACTTTGCATATTCTTTTGGGGGTGAAACTGGAACTGTATTCTTTTGGGTCTCTGGAACTGTACATACACCATCAAGAAATACAGTTATGCTTTATTTATAAGGTTTGGGGGTTTAATACCACTTAGTGGCTGCTTTCAGTGTTAAAAAGTTAAATGTTTTGGCTCAGTAGACACTTAAATTTTTGAGCAACTGAATTTAAATCTTACTTTTTTTGTTTTTTTCTTGATGACTTCAAGTCTTAGTATGTTTTTTGCTTTTTAGCTTCATTAGTTTATCCTTTTGATGCTTGCATTCAGTTCACAGTCTCCAGTTTTAAACAGTATTTACATCTGTTCTTTTTTATAGCTGAGTAGTGTGTACCACATGGACTTGAGCTTGGGCAAACTTGGGGAGATGGTGAGGGCCGGGGAAGCCGGGTGTGCTGCAGTCCACGGGGTCGCAAAGAGTCAGACGTGACTTAGGGACTGAACAACACCACATCTTCTTTATCCATTCCTGTGAACTTTTAGATTGTTTCCATGTCTTGGCCATTGCGAATAGTGCTGCAGTGAATGCTAGGGTGCGTGTATCTTCTCAAATGATGCTTTTCTTCAGATACATGCCCAGGAGTGGGGTTGCTGAATGATATGGTAGTTCTATATTTAGTTTTTTGTTATTGTTGTTGTTGTTGTTTTCCATTTATTTTTATTAGTTGGAGGCTAATTACTTTACAATATTGTAGTGGTTTTTGCCATACATTGACATGAATCAGCCATGGATTTACATGTATTCCCCATCCTGATCCCCCCTCCTACATCGCTCCTTATATTTAGTTTTTAAAGGAACTTCCATATTGTTCATCAAAAAGAGCAAAATAATGCCATTTGCAGCTACATGAATGGACCTGGAGAGTATCATACTAAGTGAAGTAAGTCAGACAGAGAAAGACAAATATATCATTTACATGTGGACTCTAATAAAAATGATACATACATGTGTGTATGCTCAGTCTTAAGCAACTCTTTGAAACCTTATGGACTGTAGCCTGCCAGGCTCCTCTGACCATGGGCTTCTCCAGGAAAGAATCCTGGAGTAGTTTGCCGTTTCCTTATCCAGGGATATTCTTAACCCAGGGGTGAAACACATCTCCCATGTTTCTTTGCATTGGCGGGTAGGTTGTTTGCCACAGAGCCACCTAGGAAGCCTGAAAAGTCATAACAGATGAACTTATTTACAAAACATACTCACAGATCTCAAAATTAAACATATGGTTCAGTTGCTTAGCCATGTCTGACTCTTTGCAACCCCGTGGCCTGCAGCACACCAGGCCTCCCTGTCCCATCGCCAACTCCCAGAATTTACTCAAACTCATGTCCATTGAGTTCGTGATGCCATCCAACCATCTCATCCTTTGTCGTCCCCTTCTCCTCCTGCCGGTACCAGCCGGCAATGTGAACAGGTCTAGACCGCAGCTACACGGAAGCCTGAGAAAAAGGAGCTGAAAGTAAAGAATGGGGTCGAGAGGACTGAAATGCTCTTTAGGCAAGTCAGCGGTTTTATTGAGTAAAGCAGCTACCTTTATACTAGTACAAGCAGAAAACATAGTTCATAAAAAATGCCATCTGGTGTTTGTTACATCAATACAATTCTTTGTCTTAAGTGATTGCAGAAGCTTACATCCTGTTTTTGGCATTCCAAGATAAACTACTAAGTGAAGGTCACTACTGTGTTTTTCTCAAGGAAGAACAAAGGAGACCCGGCAGATGTTTTACTACTTTATCATGGGGTGGCGGGACAGGGAATGGCCTCTTTCAAGGCTTTCCCAGGGCCTTTTTGGGCCTTGAGCAGGCTGGCTGCCCACATCCTCCCGCCTCCAATCTTTCCCAGCATCAGGGCGTTTTCCAATGAGTTAGTTCTTTGCATCAGGTGGTCAAAGTATTGGAGTTTCAGTTTCAGCATCAGTCCTTCCAGTGAATATTCAGGACCAGTCTCCTTTAGGATGGACTAGTTGGATCTCCTTGCAGTCCAGGGGACTCTCTAGAGTCTTCTCCAACACCACAGTTCAAAGGCACCAATTCTTCGGTGCTCAGCTTTACTTATGGTCCAACTCTCACGTCCGTACATGACTACTGGAGAAACCAGAGCCTTGACTAGCCGGACCTGTATGGTTACCGAAGGGGAGGCATGGGGAGAGGTGATAAGTTAGGAGACTGGGATTAACATAGACACACTGCCATATGTAGAACAGATCAGCAGAGGTTCACTCTGCAGCACAGGGAACTCTGCCCAGCACTTCAGTGACCCACGTGGGAGAGGAGCCCAGAGCAGAGCGGGCCCACGCGTGCACACAGACGAGCTGCTCTGCAGCACGCCTGGGACTGGCGCAGCAGTGTATCTCAGCTGTAGCAAAAAAGGTAAGTGATGCAGTTTAAGAAAAAGGCAGTTACATCTGGATCTTCTCCAGTGTGGCCATGGCATTCTTATCATGCAGGCCATCTAGACCGAGGAATATTGTACTCTTGTCCTTGTACAGTGATGTCTCTGCTAAACCTCTGTGATGAAGGGCGTCATTTGAAAGGGAGTACCACGTGAGCTTGCCGATCCAGAAACGCTTTGTTCCATCCGCTGGCTGAGAACTGTCCTGGAGCAAGGGTAGGAAGAGAGCATGATGAGGCGAGGTGTGCTGAAAGAAGCCAAGGCACAAGCAGAGATGAGGGGCTTTGTTCTGTTCAAGAATCTCAGAATACAAAGAGCTTAGCCTGACCAACTTTGCCTTCTTCAAGGTTTCCTTCAGGCTCAACACCAGCATTCTTTCTGACTTGCTAGCCCCACCATGTTTCTTGCTCTGAACTGAAGAAAGCCTTTGGGAAGAGAGGCTTCAGAAAGCAGAAACCTCAAAATAAGTTCTAAAGTAGAACTTGATGAAGGGGAGAGCAAACTGGGGAGGTGGCTGAAATGGGAGCAGTTTCATATTCTTTCATGCCTCCTAAGCCTCTGAATGTGCTCTGTAATTTGTAGTGCTAATAAATGTGACCACTTCACATGTAAAAGCAAAATACATAGGACAGCCACCCTGTGTTAAATGTTGCTTTTCTAAGTGAGACTTGGAGATAAAGGTTACTTGCAATTTATGTTTCCTTCAGAGAGACATTTTAAAAGTTTTGGTCACATGGCAGGAATGATAGAGAGTTTTTTTGTTTTTTTTTGTTTTTTTTTTCATTTATTTTTATTAGTTGGAGGCTAATTACTTTACAATATTGTAGTGGTTTTTGTCATACATTGACATGAATTAGCCATGGATTGATAGGTAGAGAGTTTGCCTTTGAGGTTATATTTCTTAAGTCTGTCTGATTCGATGCATATTGTAACTTGTGCCTGTGAGAAAGTTAGAGAATGTCTGATTTGCAGTAGGAGAGTGAAGGATACTAAAAAAATCCAGTCATTGGCAAATTTGTTTCCAGTCAAAGGAAACTGTGTCACACACGTGGTGAGGCCCTATTAGGACAATGGTGGCAGTCATTCATTTAATAAACAGGCAATCATTCATCACCTTGGAGGAGGAAATGGCAACCCACTCCAGTATTCTTGCTTGCAGAATCCCATGGACTGAGAAGCCTGGTGGGCTACAGTCCATGGGGTTGCAGAGAGTTGGACATGACTTGAGTGTCTATCACTTCACTTCACTGATCACCTGCTTTGTGTCCACCAGCAGTCTAGACTGGATAGTACAAGGTAGATAAGATTTAGGCTTTTGAGTATGGTTACAGAAAGGCCACAGTGTGTACTGAGAAACTGGACTTAGTCCAGAGAGGCTGGGAGGATGACCAGAATTGAGACTGGAAAAGTAGAAAGACAGCTGGGTGGGACTGCAAGTTGTTCTCGTGTACTGCACTGAGGGGTTTGCGCTTGATGAGTTACAGTCAGGTGGAAAGCAGGAAATGACGTAGTCATGTCTGTTCCATTGAACACGTGTTAGAGGATGCTGTACCACTGGTTACTTCAAGCTAATATAGGGTTCTGTTTCAAGGGGAAATTATGTTGCATTTGAACTGATGAGCTAATATTTTGATTTGGGCCATTTTTGCACATGTATTTCAGTCCTAACTCAATGTCGTAGTGGTATCTCAGACTTTTAGGAAGTTATTTAATAAATGCTTAAGAAACAACCAACTACCTTTCTGAACATAGAGAAAAAATGCTTCAATGGTCCTTGTAAGATCTAATGAGAAATACAGAGCAGAGGACAGATTTGTGAAGGATGTAGATGATCAGAAGACAAGAGTGGCAGATGGTAGTAGAGGTACCATCACTTGGGGACCTCTGTCACTTGGTAGTAGAGGTAGTGATGACATCATATCATTAGTTTTGTCAGCTTAAAAAATATAAAAGTCCTTAGCGAGGGTTGATGGTCAACTAATACATGAAATAGGACATGAGATACTAGTAGTATGGGAGAGAAGAGGCTGCTAACAAAGATAACTTAGACCAATTCACCTAGGTGTGCTGTTGAAATCTGTCCTTCTATCTCATCATATGACTTCTATTCTATAGAACAAATAGTGCCATCAGATGGGAACTTCTTCATCTTGACTGATGACAGCTCCATTCTTGTATACGTACCCATCCCCTTTCTCCACCTCGCCTGTTTGGAAAAGGGGTCTTCCTTCCTGAGGTTGGTCCTTCCTACCCCACTCCTCCCCGTGCATGGAGCCCGGACCCCTGGTACTCTCCGCACCCTCTGATTCCCCTCTCCTCTGACCTCATCCCCAGTGGCTTTCAAACACGCTCCTGCTTTGGTCTCTTCCTCTTGACCCTCCTGCCTCTAGTCATTTTCATATCATTCTCTTCTACATCCCAGCCAAACTCTTGAGTTGTTTTTACTTTCTTATATGCTGATTGGCTATGTGTGTATCTTCTTTGGAGAAATGTCTATTCAGATCCTTTGCTAATTTTTTACTTGGTTTATTTGTCTTTTAACTGTTGAGTTGTAAGAGTTTTTATACTCTGGATGTTAGACCCTTGTCAGATACGTGATTTGCAAATATTTTCTCCCACTCACTGGGTTGTCTTCTCACTTTGTAAATAGTGTGTTTTAACACGCAGGTTTTCATTTTGACTGAGTTCAGTTTCTCTGTTATCTTGATGCTTTTTGTGTCAATGACTGCCTAATTCAAGGGCACACAGCTTTTCACCTGTTTTCTTCTTAGAGTTTGATTGTTTTAGCTCTTCTATTTGTCTTTTAATCTATCTTGAGTTAAATTTCTGTGTATAGTGTGAGGTTGGTATCTAAATCCATTCTCTTCCATGTGGATATTTTCTGGATAATAATATCAATTGCTGGATGTTTAGTAAATCTACAGTGTAAAGTGAAACCCTCTGGGAAGTGGAATGTGGCAGTTGTTACATGCCACTGTGAGTCTGAAGTCGTTTGCTGTCAGAGCAAAAGCTCTAATATTCACAGGTGTTCTCAGTCATTTTCTCTTGTGTGGGGCAACATTTATTTATCCAAGAACAAATATATAAATGGCAAACTGAGCACTAATATTGCCTGATAGCATTTGTTAGAGCTCAAGTTATATGATTTAGAATGCCATCATGAAGTTCAGCTCTGAACTTCATCCACTTGAAGTTCATACTTTCAAAGTAACAAGCCGAGTGCTCTGCACAGTCATACGGCTGGTCAGTACCAAGGCCAAGATGCCAGGCTGAGCCCTGCCCCCACATTCTTTCTGTGATTGTTGCGTAACTGTGAGTCTAAGGTGTTACCTTAGGTAGACTCAAGAAGTAAAAGAAACAGATGGTTTTTCACTAGGTGGCTGTGAAATTATAGTTTGGTAAGAAATCTCTTATCTGACACTATTATAGCAGGTGCTTGTAATTAAGAAAGTCAGTTTTTATAATACTCTTATGGAATGGTGCATGTTATCCTTAACATATGTGTACATTTGTTCTACATTGATGTGGCTTGAAACTCTTTTCTCTGAAAATCTGTCTGTGAATTTGATTTTTTTTGTTGTTGTTGTACTTTAAGTTGAATGAGAACCCCAAGGCATTTGCGGAGAATCTGGTATAGAATCCTTCAAGATTTGTATGATCCTCCTTCCCACAGCACTACCTGGTTCATGGTCATCTCATACATTTATGTAATTCAGCAAAAATTGTCTTATCAGTTTCTCAGTATCAGGTCTTTGCAAAGCATCTGCTGTAGTTTTCATGAAAACAGTTATCACTGTGTACTTATATTTTGTTGGTTTATACAATGTTTAATAAAATTATGTAGTTTTGGTGATAAGTATAAGTGGCCTTAACAAGTTTGGGAATCATCATACCTGATACTTGATAACTAAACAGCTCAGTTAGTACCGAAGTCATAAGTAGACAGTAATTTGCTGTCTGTATGCCTGTGTGCCTACCAGGGGCATCAGAATGTTATAAAGGGAAACAGGGCATAATGATTCTGTGAACAATGCTTGGAAGTTGGTTTTGAAAGATTTTGAACATCTGTTCAGTTGAATACTCAACATCCATGTAAAATGTCAATACCGATTAATATGTATTATGAAAAGACATTGAAGCTATATGTAAAAGGAGAAAAATAGCTTAGAAAAGCTTTATTAAGATTCTGTGTATGTGTATGTGTTTGTGCATGTGTGTGTGAACATAGAAAAAGGTCAAGGGTTTCATTCAAGGAGGATCCTACAACACTTAACCTCCTCCTGTGGACACATGACATCAGTAGCTACTCATGGAATAGTTTCCTCCTCTGAGCAACTCCTGCACATCCTGCAAACAACCCACATCAAAGTGGATAGGAGAGGCTGAGACACGGTCTCACCATCCCCCACTCCCAGCTTGGTGACCCACAATTGGAAGGAAGCTACCATCCCCAGCTGCTCCCTGAGAAGTAAAGGGTCTGAACCCTAAACTTGGCACCCCTCCTTTAAAGACTTGCACCTGGGAGATGAGCCCCCAAATATCTACCTTTGAAAGTCAGTGGATCTGGAATCTGCAAGACCACCAGGCTCATGATGTGAGAAACAGCTTTTGAAGGGCAGCATGAACTTGGTCACCCTCCTGGGGCCTGGAACAGGGACAGAGGCTGAAAAGGGCCCAGACTTTCTGTGAAAGAGGCTTGTTTATCTTAAGGCATCAGCCTGAGGGGCCAGCCTCTCATTTAACATTCTCTGGGGGCTTGGAGGCTGGCAGGAGCTGTCTTTGCCCTCTCTGCCTCATTCCAGCTGGACAGTATCTCCTAGAAAGGAACTTGGGTGCTTGTCTGGTGCCCTCATGTTTGCAGTTGCTGCCCAGAGACAACTCTAGGTCACCTGGCTTTGGTGGCCGGTGAGGCTTACACCTGTAGGTCCCCAGTGTTCACTGCAGTATTATTTGCAATAGTCAAGACATGGAAGCAGGCTTAGTATACATCGATAGATGAATAGATAAAGAAACCATGATATACATACACCACACACACACAGGAATATTATTCAGCCATGAAAATGAACTAAATCTGGACTCCCCTGGTGGTACTGAAAAGGAAAAGTTAAAGTTTGACATAACCTCCTGCTCGTTCTGCCTGTGTAACTCAGCTTGCTCCTTGCAAAGTCTGGATCGGGTAGGTCACGCAGTCTCAGAAAGTGGCGATTTAAGATATGAAGAACTGGAGCTTATCTCACCACCCTTGTCCTGCTCTTTGCAATTCCCCAGCCCCTGTAAACCTGCTTAATCATGCCTTTCCATTAAAGGTCAGGCATTCCCCTCCCCATCTTAACTGCTGTTCCCGTGCACACGAAACTGCTTCGTTTAAACCAGCCTATTAGCAGCTAGTGTTGCCCACTATAGTCTGTCTGTGAAAACTCTGTAACCCCTCTGTTTGGGGCTCAGAGCTTAGAGTGTTAACTGCTCTGGGCCCGCTGGTATAGTAAACATGAGTTCTCCAACTCTCCGAGTGTGGTGCTTGGTTTCTCGAGTACTGGTTTCTATAACAGTACAGTGGCTGAGAATCTGCTTGCCAATTCAGAGTTCACAGATTTGATCCCTGGTCTGGGCAGATTCAACATGCCACAGAGCAGCTAAGCCTCTGGGCCACAGCTACTGTGCCTGTGCTCCAGAGTCCGTTGCCCACAGCAAGAGAAGCCAGCACATTGAGAAGTCTGCAAACCGCGACACAGAGTAGCCCCTGCTCGCCACGACTAGAGAAAGCCCGCAGGCAGCACTGAAGATGCAGCACAACCAAGAACAGTAAATCAAAATGTTTTCAAAAAAGAAAGCTTGCCATTTGTGGCAACGTGGATGGACCTTGAGGGCATTAATGCTACATGACATCAGTTAGAGAAAGATGATCACGATCTCACTTTTATGTGAAATCTATAAAACAAAACAAAAATTAACTTGGGTACTGAGAACAGACTGGTGGTCGCCAGAGCAGGGGGTGGGGAGTGGACGAAATGGGCGAAGGGGTCAGATGGTAGAGACTTCTAGTTAATCAGTTAAATAGGCCATGGGGATGCGATGTATAGCATGGTGACTATAGTTAGTAATACTGTACTGTATATTTGAAAGTTTCAGAGAGTAACTCTTAAAATTTATCATAGCAAGAAAAGGAAATTTGTAACTATGTGATGGATGTTACCTCATCCATCCTCACAGTGAAAATATTTGGGAAAAAGATTCCAGAAAGTTTCAAAACACAAAATTTGAATTGCTGCGACAAATAGTTGGCAACTCTTTACATAGTATTTTCAGTGATCTATATAACATTTACATTTTATTAGGTATGATGTAATCTAGAGATGATTTAAAGTGTATGTAAATACTGTGCCATTTTATTGTAGAGACTAGGACATACCTAGATTTTGGTGTCTTTGGGGGTCCTGAAAACAGGCCCCCATGGATGCTGAGGGATGGCTTTATTTATAGGTTGAAATTGTCACAGTGAATATTTGTTACTTCTAAAACTTAAGGGAAAAGGAACCATTTCTGTTCTGAGAAGAGCCTATTGAATGTGTGTAGTTAAAAGCAAATGAAGTCCTTTTGGGACTGAGGCAGCAGGAGAGGACGCTCTTGGTCAGGGGCCTCCCTCTTGGCACCTTGACAGTGTGCAAGCGCCTTTCTGTCCTGTGTGTTTTAAAGTGCTTTATCCTGACAGCAGTTAACCTTTCAAATGAATAGAATGGCGTTTCTCTGTTGTTCTCTCTCCTTTTATTTGTATGTGTAAAATGTGGTAGTGTTGCAATAATTCTTTTTTCCTGGTTTTATTTTCAGGAAGACTTTGATGTCGATCACTCTGTGTCTGACTGTCAGAAGCGAGTGCAGCTGAAGCACTTAGAGCTGACCTGGAGCTCTGCTGTAGCCGCCTAAAACAGCCATGGTTGAGCTCATCAACGAGGACTACGCAGACCTTGTCAACCTGTCAAAAAACCTGGTAAACTTGAAATCCACAGTTCCTACCTGTCAGTGTATTTACACACGGACTGCACACTTTTTTTCTCACTCATGTTTATTCTTAACAGCTCTGAGTCTTTTTAGAAACCTTTTAGCTATTTTTTCCCCAGAAACTTGAAGGGATTGCTAATCTTGATTAATAAAGGAACTAAACTTTCTTGATACACATTTTTTGTGTTTAGTTTCGTTTGATTATTTTTTGAATGACTTATTAAGAAGTTCCTACCTGTCAGTGTATTTACACATGGACTGCACACTTTTTTTCTCACTCATGTTTATTATTAACAGCTCTGAGTCTTTTTAGAAACCTTTTAGCTATTTTTTCCCCAGAAACTTGAAGGGATTGCTAATCTTGATTAATAAAGGAACTAAACTTTCTTGATACACATTTTTTGTGTTTAGTTTTGTTTGATTATTTTTTGAATGACTTATTAAGAAGTGGTGAAAAGTAAGGGTAGCAATACCAAGAGTGTTGTTTTGTTAGTTGCTAATTGATTCCCATGAAATCTCACCAGTTTAGACTAATTTCCGAGAGCAGATATCAACTCTTCCTAAGGAAATGTTTCATTTACTTTCAGGTACATGTGCTAGCCAGAGATACGTTGAGAAAACATTGGCCAATATTGATCATTAAGAAGCCTCTTTTTACACATTTTATAAAAATGTAGAAATTGTTTATAAGAAGCATATCAATTACTTGGGAAAGTTGTTTAAAAACACTTGAGTTTTCATACTTGTGAAAGTCTTGTTCATATTTTTCTTTTAAGTCTGTTTGTCGAAAGAGGTATGGAAAATAGCCATCTCTATGGGAATTTCAAGAAGCATTGAGAATAATGAGCCATATTTGCTTTTGGGAAATACACCACTAAGATAAATGTTCCAGTAGGATTAGAGACCCGGAAAATTTTATTTCCATCTATTTAATTTGGATTTTTCTGAAGGGTTATAATAATGCTTAGGAGAGATGTAGTCCATCAGACTTTCATATCAGCTGGTTGAATATCATAAACAACAGAGATAGCTATTTTTCCTGTTAGTTTTTTAAGTCATTTAAAATTTCATCCCAAAGGCAAATTGTGCATAGGAATTTTTTATTTATTATGACTTTCCTTATTTTTATAGTGCTTATGTATCAACAGGTTTTTCACATTCAAGGAGCAATGTTTATGGCCAAATAACATTTTTGTTATGTAGTTACTAGCAGCATATAATTGTACAGAAAGAATAACCTAAGCCTAATACTGCTTTGATCATTAAGCATAGGCTTCACTGTTAATCCTGGCCCTGATGCGTCTGTGCCAACATGCTTTTGCCTTTATGTTGGTATGGACAAGGCCCTCAGTCAGCTTTCTGTGCCTTTGGGGACAGTTACGAGAAGAGGTTCTGGTACGTCCCCAAATAACAGTCAACAATCTACCATAAAACATATTACACTTGTTTGCCTTCTCCAAGAATTCTTTTTTATTAATCTGTTAGATTGTTGTGATTGTTGTGGTTGGTGTTTTTTAATGTTCCATGATTATAGTATAATACTTTCAAAATGTAAATGATTTGCATGTGATATTACAACCTAAGAAACATATTTGGTTTGAAGACAGCAAATTCTCAAGAGTAGAGTAGATACTTTTAAATGTCAGAGAGGAGGAGAAGGGTATTTCAAAAATTAAATTTGTTAATACCACCTCACCCATGTATAAGTGGTCTCCAGCTTAGAACTGGCTTACTTATATTTTAAAATTTGTCATTTTACAAGTATTTTCCCAGACAATATTTTATGTGTAGTTAGATTTGTGGATCAGTTTATACCAGCCATTTAACCCCCGATGTAACTGAAGGGTAATATAAATGTCGTGTAATACCTAGTTTCTCTGAGAAAATCTCTCCCTTGGGAATGGAACTGTCTGCCCCTAAGCCATGAGAACAGGGACTTCATCCAGGTGAACAGTGGAGAGGGAGTTTTGGTGTCACCTCCAACAGAAAACTGCCGCCCTGTCCTCCCCTCACCCTCTGGGCTGTGCTGGGCACCTCGCCCTCCATCCGCCCTTCGTTGTGAAGCACCGCACCATCACTTCCTGTGTGTGTCAGCACTGGACCACGCCAGACCACGTGGCCTTATGCTCCTTGCCTCGAGACAGTACCTGGCACATGCAGGGCTCTCAGTAGATAATGTAGTGAAGAGGTTCTGCTTGGATAAAGCTGTAGGAAATGCAGGACAATGGGAACGTCAGGGCTGAGAAGTCCCGAGGAGGGTAGGCAAGAAAAAATTCGTAAAAGAGGTTAAGCTGTGAGCTGTGCCTTGAACTAGCAGACTGTTTGAAAGTCCGTGTCTTGTTTGAATTTCACAAAGCTTATTAAAGTGCCTTTTGTTGGAATGGAAGAGAAGGAAGTTTCTGGTCTGCTGCTGGGTTCCACACCAGCCTCTGCGGCCGTCCTGCCTCCTTTTCAGGGCTCCTCTTCTCCCAACCTGTCACCATGACATTTCCCTAACCCCGCCCTTTGTTAACCTTCCACTCTCTCTCTGCACTCTCTCCACTCTGCTCTCCTGCGCTTGAACTTCCTCGACTGCCCTCATGCCTTCAGGCTCTTGGCCCACACTGCCAGCTGCCAGCGCCGCCTACCGTCCCTTACTCTGCAGCTGTCTTTATCACCACCCTTCTCCTCATCACCCGCAGACCTCACCTGCCTTTTTAATCTCCACTCAAGAAGCTTCTCTGAGATTCTAAGATCATTGAGGGATAAGACTGTTTCTATCTAATTCATCATTGTATCCCCATTGGCTGACTGTTAGTAGACATTTCATGTTTATTGAATGAATTAATTCACTTTTCTATAAAATTTTTGTGATTTGTCTGGTGGTGGTGGTTAGTCGCTAAGTCATGTCTGACTCTTGCGACCCCATGGACTGTAGCCTGCCAGGCTCCTCTGTCCATGGGATCCTCCAGGCAAGAGTACTGGAGTGGGTTGCCATGTCCAGTTTATTCTCATCGTTTCTTTTACCCTTGCTTTGGCCTGACTCTTCATATTTTGTTTAATTTATTAGCTTCTGGACATGTTTCTCCACCTATGAGCTGCCTTTTCCTGGCCATTCTTTTCCTTACTCCTTGATTCGTAATATCCTTAGAACAACATGGCATCATGAAGTATCAGTGCTTAAGGATTGTTTAGTTCCTGATAGAATCTAGTCTAAAATTCTCCTAAATCTCCCCCACGCCCCGTTTATTTCTACTTCTCTCCAAAATGAAGGCTGCTCTGCACCCGGGTGCACCCTCCCGCCCTGAGTGCGCCCTGTCAGTCGCACCTTCCCACCCTCTGTCCTCGAGTGACTGCTCTCCTCCACCGCCGGCCTCCACGGGCTCTCCAAGTCAGACTCGAGTTCCATCCCCTGCGCCAGATTTTCCTAGTGTTTGGTTCAGATGGTTCTTTCTGTACTGTGAGCACGTATGATGGTGATTGTATATGTATTGGGTTGGCCAGCAAGTTCCACTGGTTTTTAAGTAAAAATAAAAGACACAGTTTTCATTTTCACCAAGAACTTTACTGAACAGTGTATTCACAGTTTTGTTCCACTACCTTCTGCCGTTTTTTTCAGGCAGCTTCATAATTCCATCTTCCCAAAACTTTTTATATTTTTGAGCAAAGAACTGTTGCAGGTGTCTTTTATGGTCTTCCAGGGAATTTTTCCATTAAGAGAATTTTGTAAAGACCAAAATAAGTGAAAATCTGAAGGTGCAATGTCTAGTGACTGTGGTGGATGAATCAGAACTTCCGAGCCAAACTGTAACAGTTTTTGCCTGGTCATCAAAGAAACGTGGTCTTGAGTTATTCTGATGCAAGATTATGCATTTTCTCTTGACTAATTCCAGATGCTTTTCGTCTAGTGCTGCCTTCAGTTTGTTTAATTGGGAGCAAGTACCTGTTAGAATTAGTCATTTGGTTTTCCAGAAGGAGCTTATTATAGAGAAGCCCCTTCCAATCCCACCGTATACACAGCATCACTTGTGGATGAAGAGCAGCCTTACGTATGATTGTGGTGGTTCATTTTGCTTGCCCCACGAGCTCTTCCATTCCACATAATTGTACAGTATCCACAGAGGATGAGATGGTTGGATGACATCATCGACTCAATGGACATGAGTTTGAGCAAACTCTGGGATGTAGTGAAGGACAGGGAAGCCTGGTGTGCTGCAGTCCATGGGGTTGCAAAGACGGGCACAACTGAGCAACTGAACAACAACAGCAATCCACTTTTCTCTCTCCTGTCACAATTTGTTTTAAAAAGTAAACATTTTTGTTACTTTTAAGTAGAGAATTCCCTGTGGAAATATGGTCAAGAAGGTTGTTTTTTCCCTTCACTTATGTGGAACCCAAACATCAAAACGATTCACATAACCAAGCTGGTGCAAATGGTGTTCAACAATTGATTTGAATATTTTGAGTATGTTGGCCATCTCCTGCATGGTATAACATTGATTGTTCCCAGTTAAGGTATCAGTTTATTGCTGTCAACCTCAACTGCTCTTTTCAACCGTGGCAAAATCTATCCAGTCAGAAGTCTGCAGCACAGAACTTTGCAAGCCATTTTGACGGTTCAGTCAGCCACAGCACCTTCTCCATACACTGCACAAACCTTACTTTGCATTTCAGTTGTATTCTTACCTTTCTTGAAATAATAAAGCATAATACGCAGAAAATGTTGCTTTTTTTCTCCTTTAATATTAAAATGACTACACAAAAATTCAGTAGCCTTGATTTTTTTTTTAATGCACACTGATATGACAGCTGTCACAATACAGTCTTACAAAATTATTTCTAATGAAATTAAAGACAGCCAGGCACTACTAGAGCCATCTTATGGTAAAAAAGTAAACTGACTTCTTTGCCAACCCAAGATTATTATTCTTTTGGCCGTTAATCCT